CCACTCCCTTGGCGCCTGCTTAAAACCATATAGGTCGATGCAACTACCATATAGTGTTTTCAGGAAAGGCTACGTGGAACCCGGAGGGCCGCGGGGAGGATGCGCTCGTGCAGGTCGCCCTGCAGGAACGCGTTGGAGACGTCCATGGAGCAGATCTCCTTGTCGTCGCGCGCACCAATGTCGATGAGGGTGCGAAGGGTGGGCGGCTTGGCGGTGGAGGAGAAGGTGAACCAACAATCTTCGGCCCAAGTTTGGGTGAAACCCTTGGTGTAGTAGCGTGCCTTGTAGACCGGCTCCTTGCCTGGCAGCTGCTTTATCCAAAAGACCCATTTGCCCTCGACGGGGTTGGCGTTGGCTGGAAGGGGGACATCAACAAAGGAGTCGTTGCGAATGAATGCCTCACACTCCAGGAAGATCGGCGCTATCCATTTGTCCGCGTCAAGGCAGGTGATGGCCTCTTGGAAAGTGGTGGGAGTGAAGATGGCGGGGGTGGAGGTGGCGCCAAGGACAGAAAGGCTGAGGAAGTCAAGGTAGAGGGAGCCAAGGAAAGGAGTGTGGTGTCGAATGTTGAGGAACCTATCATGGGAGTTCCCAAGGAGCTGAATGGAGACGGGAAGAGGGTTACCAAGGAATTTGTCCAAGGGGCTGCTGCTGGCTGCTGCTGCAGCCGCTGCTGCCGCTACTGCCACAGGTGCTGCTGCTGCTGCTGCTGCCACTGCTGCTGCTACGGCTGCCACTGCCCCTGCTGACTCGACTGCTGCTGCTGAGGGTTCTGACCCGGCTGCTGCTGCTGCTGCGGCGGTAAAGTGGGAGAGTGAGAGGAGGAGAGAGAGGGGGAAAGGGGTGCAACAGAGTGGGCCGGGGAGGCAAGTGCAGCAGGGTTGTAGATGTCGGTAGAGGAGGAAGGCGGGATGGAGCGGCAAGAGGGGGGAGGAGAGGTGGGAGGACGGTGTCGGTCTAGGCGAGGGGGCGAGAGGGAGGAGGGAGAGGGTCAGGAAGAGGGGTGGAGTAGTAGGGAATGGACTCTTTGAAGACAACGTCAGTGCTGCGGATGAGGCGATTGGCGGGAGGGTGGAGGAAAAGGTAGCCTGAAGAATCGTGATTGTGCCCGAGGTAGAAGCACTCCAGGGCACGAGGGGCGAGCTTGCCAGCAGCGCCGGAGCGATCGGCCGGCGGGACGAGGACGAACGACTTGCAGCCCCAAACGCGAAGGCTGGCAGCATCAGGCTTGGCCTTAGACCAGAGTTCTATAGAGGAGGAGGAGGGGTGCTGAGGGTGGGGGGGAGATTGATTAGGAGGCCGGCATGAAGGAGGGCATAGCTCCAGAGGGAAGGAGGGGTGGAGGCGTGAGCAATGAGGCAACGAGCAATCTTGGTGATATCACGAATACGACTCCCAGCGATGCCATTTTGCTGAGGGGAGTGGGGGAGGGTGTAGGTCTGCCTAATGCCATGGGTTTTGCAGAAAGTGGCGAGGGTATTGTTGATAAACTCACCCCCACCGTCAGAGTGAAGGCGGCCAATGGGGAGTTTGAAGTGAGTGCGGCACTACTCAGCCCAGGTGATGACCACAGCCGGCAACTGGTCTTTGGTGTGAAGGAAATAGACGGTGGAGTACCGACTATGGTCGTCGACGAAGACGAGCATGTACCGATGCCCCTGACAGGAGTGGATGGGATTGGGACCCCAGAGATCCATGTGAAAAAGGTCAATGGGGGCAGCAGCGAGGGTGGGATGGCTGTGAAGGGGGGACTGTTTGAGCTTGCCATGAATGCATGATAGGCATGGGGGAACAGGGGAGGAGGGGAGGGGAGGTAATGCAGGAGGAAGGCTGTGAAGGAGGCAAGAGGTGATGGTGGTGCGAAGTGCGGCGAAATTGGGATGGCCGAGTCTATGATGCAGAAGCACTGCAGGGTGGGAGAGAGCAGTAGAGGAGGAGGGGGATGGGGTGGGGGAAGAGGTGGGGGGGAAAAGAGGAGGGGGATGGAGTAGGGGAGGATGATATTTGAGGGGGAGGAGGAGGTGGAGGGGGGACCGATGGAAGTACCAGCACGAGTGGTGATGTGATTTAAAGAGGGATGGGGTGTGCGGAGCGTGTAAAGGCGAGTGCGAGGGCAAAGTGAAGTGCCCAGGAGGAAGCGACCAGAAGCGGTGTGGTAGAGATCACAGTAGGAAGCAAAGCTAGGGCAAATGGCAGTAATACCAATGCCTTGGAGCTCGCGGTGGGAGATGAGTTTGTTGCGAAGGGTAGGAATGTGGAAACCTGTGAATGTACCAGATGGGAAGGCGGTGCAAGGGAGGGTGGAGAGGTGAGTGCATGGGATGGAAAAGCTGGAGTCAGCACCATGAACCTAGATGGAAGTGGAAGGGGGATGAGGGTGCCAGCGTTTTTCAGCCTAGATTTTGTGGCCCCACTATCAAGGACAAAGTTTAGGGTGGGGGAGGAAGGAGGGAGAGGTAACATGGAGTACTGGAAGGACGTCTCATTGATAGCAGAGGGATACATGGAAGCGACAGATGGTGCAATAACAACATGGCCAAGGAAACTGCCTTGAGAGTGAGGGACACTTGTGGGGGGCAGAGGGAAGGGAACCCCTGAAGGGGGTAAGCAAGGGAGGCACGAGCGGCCATGGACGCTGTGGCGAAGGTCATCGGCTGTAGCTGCCACTGCGGCTGAAGGTACGGACGGCTGTTGCGGTGGCTGCTGCGGCTGCTGCGGATGGAGAAAGTGTGGCTGCTGCTGTTGCAAGATGTACTACTGCTGCTGCTGCTGGTGCTGCTGAAACTGCTGCAGCTAGGAAGGGGGGGAGGGGGTGAGCAGTCGGAGGTGAGCAGGGAGGAAGGAGGGGAGGGTCTGAATGTCCACGAGGGAGGGGCGAGGGATAACACTGCTCCAGGGAGGAGGGGTACCAGTGTTGCCGAGATCAAACCAGGCGTCATCGAGCGCCTTGAAGTACGTGGCAGGGGGGTGGTTGGTCTGACCACAAGGCGTGCCGGCGTGGGGACCATGACGGTGGACATACGTGCAGAGCGGGAGAGTGCCCGGGTGACCTTCACGACTCACAGCACCACTGGCACTGGCAGGACCTCCAGGTATGGTACCACCACCACCTCCACCACGGCCACCATGTCCACCACCACCACCGCCCCGACCACCATTACCACCTCCGCCCCCTTCACGACCACCTTCTCCGCCGCTGCAACGATCCTAGTAGCGCGGCTGCGTAGCAGTGAGGGAGGTGGAGGAGGAGGACTGAGGGGTGGTGAGGTTGGCAATAGGAGTGCGGAGCTTGATCTCTATGCCAATGATCCACTGAACCACCTCGTCGAGGCCAGCCAGGGGGTTTGCCTCATGAAGGCGTGCAGATGAGACTCGTATCCGGCGTGAGGTTGAACAGCAAGTGGTGAATCAGCAGCGGCTCGTTGAGAAAAGCCTAACGAGCCGCAAGGCGATCAACTACCTCCTGCATGCGCCCCACGTTGTCGACTACGCAGTCACAGGTGGCGAGGGTAATGGAGAAGTATTCCTGGAATAGAACGCCGGCAGAGCTGATGTTGCGATGCTCAAACACTGCCTGTAGCTCAGTCCAAATCACTGAAGCCCAGAGCTCACAAGCCTGGAAGCAACGCATGAGGGCGTAAGGAAGTGCACCAAGCATGATGGTGCAAGCGCGGTTGTCGGTAGCAGACCAAGCGATGCGGTGGGGAGCATTGGTCGCCAGATCACTCTCATACTGTGCAAGGAATGCACAATTAGGTGTTGCGCTCCAACTACGCTAAGGTGTAGGCGTGGACATCGGCTTCGTGGTCGGCCATGCGGACCAGACTTGCGACGGTGAAGGAGGAAGGTCACGTCGGCGGCAGCTTAGAGCTCGGCGGTAGCGGCGGCCCCAAGGTCAGGTTCGTAGGGAGGAGGACCAAGAGGGGGGGGGACACGGGGAGGATCACCAGGGTGATTGGGCGTGTTCGACGGGAGGGCTTGCGGACGGTGGAGAAGCACGTCAAGGACGTTGGAAGTGGGGACAAGGGCGTCCTTGAGAACTTGGCGGATGCTTCCAACAAAGGAGTGCCAGTTAATGGCAGACCTGTCCGCGGCGAGCTGGAGTTTGTCGATGGAGGAGGCATCAATCGGAGAAGAAAGGGAAGGAAGGGAAACAGGAGGGAGAGCAGCCATGGTGGTTGACGGCGGGTGGACCCGCGGTGGCCAAGAGTGACACGACGGGGAGTGGACCCGCAGTGGTCAAGTGTGAGGCGACGGCGGGTGGACCCGCGGCGGCCAGGGGGGGGTTGCTGCTGATGAGGCTGCTGCACTCCTCCTGCTGCTACTGCTGCTGCTGGCGCTGCTGCAGCCGCTGCACCCCTCCTGCTGCTGCTGCCGCTGCACTTCTCCTGCTACCGCTGCACTCCTCCTGCAGGTGCTGCCGCTGCACTCTTGTTGTTGCTGCTTCTGCTGCCGGTGCACTGCTGCTGCTGCTGCTGCTGCTACTGCACTCCTCCTGCTGCTGCTGCGGCTGCACTTCTCTACCTACTGCTGCATCTGCACTCCACCTCTATCTCGTGCTGCTGTTTAGGGGGGGGGGGGGAAGGAGAGGAGGAGGGAGAGGGGGAAAAGGAGGGTTGCTGCTACCGCTGCTATTGTTGGTTCTGCCGCTGCTGCTGCTGGGGGTGGGGGGGGGGGGGGAGAAGAGGGAGAGGAGGAGGGAGAGGGGGGGAAGGGAGGGTGCAGAAATGGGAAGTGGCAGTGACGAAGGCATAGGTGGAGGCGGCGGAATGCAGCGGCGGCGAGACCGACGCTGAGAAGGTTGTGGCGACGGGGCAAACGCGTCGGCGGGGAAGGAGGGTAATGACGACGCAATCGCGGCGGTGGGAAGCACCAGCGGCAACGGCGCAGTTGCGTCGGCGGGAAATGTGGTAGGGACGGGCAGTTGCGGCAGCGGGAATCGCTGGTATTCGCTGGCAGCGACAGCGCGAGTGCGGCGGTGGGAGGGATGGGTGGTGATGATGTGGTCGTGGCGGCGAGAAGGGCAGGCAGCGACGGTGCGGTCGCTGCGGCGGGAAGGTCAGGAGGCGACGGAGCGGTCGCGGCAGCGGGAAGGGCAGGCGGCAACGGTGCGGTCGCGGCGGAGGGAAGGGCAGGTGGCGTCGGCGCAGTTGCGTCGACAGGAGGAGTGGCGGCGACGCGGCGGTCGTGGCGGCGGAATCTGCGGGCGGCGACGGCGCAATCGCGTCGGTGGGAAATGCGGAGGGGGGCCGGAGCGGAAGGGAACGGGCAGCGGCGAGGAGGCCGTGGCGGGAGAGCGTCAAAGGCGGACGGCGACGACGGTGAGGTTGCGGCAGGGAGGGAGGATGGCGGCGACGGTGATGTCGCGGCAGGAAGGGGGGATGGCGGCGACGATTGAGGTCGTGGCAGAAGGGAAAGGAGGGCGGCGACGGGAGGGCGGCAACGTGAGGGTCGCCGCGCGAGGGATGCGTACAGCAGCGTAGTAGAGCCATGATATCGAAGAGTTTGTCACGGTAAGGTGGGCCCTTGAGGAACAAAAACTGGAAGGGGGGGGAGGTAAGGCCAAGGAAAATTATAGCTCTATATTATGTGAAAGTTCGAAATTGAATCAATATCTTTCATTAAGGAAGGAAGAAGCATACATAGGTTGAAGAGAAGCTTGGAAGAGAAGGGGAGGGAGGTGGTGTTTGGGGGAGTAGGCCAACCAATGGCCCATTGTGGCAACACTTGGAGAGTGGGCCAACCTATGGCCCATTGGGTTGAGTTGGCGACACTTGGGGAAGTGTTGCCAACCAATGGCCCATTAGGTTGGGTTGGGAACATTTCCAAAGTGTTGCCAACTTTAGGGACCAATGGGTGCATTTGGGGGCTCCACCACAATGGGGTTGGATTGGCACCCCAAAGTGCAAGACTACACCCAAAGTTGGGTGTTGTCCCAACCCAATTGTACACCACACTTGGTGTACAGTCACAAGTACTTAGCATGCTATATGTATACTTCTAACACAGCGCATCATCTTGGAAGAACAAATGAACGTTCTAAGCACGTGATTGGTTCAGAATGACCCTTTCGCATGGTAAAGGACGAGAATGTTGTTTCATCCCTGCCCTCCTCCCTGCCCTCCTCCCTGCCCTCCTCACCACCATCCTCTTTGTCCTCCTTCCTGCCCTCCTCCCTGCCCTCTTCCCTGGTCCTCCTTGCCCTCCTCCTTGCCCTCCTCTCCACCATCCTCCCTGCCCTCCTCCCTGCCCTCCTCTCCACCATCCTCCCTGCCCTCCTCCCTGCCCTCCTCTCCATCATCCTCCCTGCCCTCCTCCCTGCCCTCTTATCTGCCTTCCTCACTGCCCTCCTCACTGCCCTCCTCCCTTCCCTCCTCTCCACCATCCTCCCTGCCCTCCTCCCTACCCTCCTCTCCACCATCCTCCCTGCCCTCCTCCTTGCCCTCCTCCCTGCCCTCCTCCCTGCCCTCCTCTCCACCATCCTCCCTGCCCTCCTCCCTGTCCTCCGCCCTGCCTTCATCCCTGCTGTCCTCCCTGCCCTCCCTTGCATGGACCCTCCGTTCCCCCTGTTGGGTATTTTGTTATTTGGTTTATATGTATTGCAATTCAGGATAGCCATTGCTACACATCGACTATCTGATTCGTAACCTACCTATGTATATGTTGGGGACTACCCGGAGCAGTGCAAGGTGGCAGGTACCAAATCAGTGATCAAAACTGCTTTCCCCTGCCCAAAATGCAAAGTGCCAAATGAAAAGCTCAGTGACATGACTAACCCTATGCAATATCGAACGGAGATTGAGCAACATATGCTCGTCCGTGAAATGCGGCTTGCCCAACTTAAAAAGCAATAGAAGAATTGGAGGTCAAGCATAGTACTCATTTTCTCAAGGTGGGTTCAACCTAACGTTTTCAACTTGAAGTGACCGTTATTGGCTGTACCTTGGTTAGTTAGTCCCTAACATGTGTTCATCTAGACAATTGCAGAGTGCACAGTGGGAATTTTGATTTGGTGACGCAAGCTTCGGCAAACCATATACAAAACTTATGGTGGCATCATGCGCATGTCCTCTTTGGGGGTCTACAAGCACATTATAGAAAGCTTGAAGCAACAGCTATCAAATGAAGATATCAGAATACTTGACATGGCGCTATCTACTGTCACCCAGTACAGTCGCCAATCTTTCTTCCGCCTTCCCGCGCATACTGATGGATACTTCAGTGGCAATGCCACGTTTATGCCTTCCAGCACCAAGCCGATATGCAGGTGCTGCCCATTTTGATGTCAACCGTCAAGGACATGAACCTGAAGTGGGTGAGGACCATGGAGCTGTTTTGCTTGTGGCATAGTCTCGCTTGGCATCGCGCCTACCACATTGAGACGTCCATGAAGAATCTGCAAGACATGGCTCATGTGTAAGTAGTGTAAATCCGTGCCATGATTCGCTGTTTCATTCCATCGGTTGTTCATAGTGTAGTAGTTTTGTTATTAACCAACAGGCAGGATTCGTGTAGGGTGGATAGGGAGCATCACTGTCACCATGTAACTCCCTTTCGCTCGCATTTGCCATTTTACCATGAGATTCATGCTTATAATGGTGTGTGAATGATGAGTCTTAATTTTGAATGTATGTGTGTCGAGTCAATAACAAGTCATCGCTAGTCGCGTATTACGTGGTCGTGTGTCTCGTGCGTGGTTTCTATTTTGTCGTGTGTCTCGTGAGCGGTTCTTATTTTGGCGCGTGTGGAACGTTCGGCGTGTCGCAAGTGTGTGCAACAGACCCATAAAAAACTCAAGGATGAGTTTATGATGAAGAACTAGAGCCTTGGTTTCAAGATCCTAGTGATTTCGAAGCTCAACAAAAGGGTAGACTTCAAGATATTGTGAATAGTTACATTACTTTGTGTAGTGAAACATTTCACCTGGTGTAGGCCCTTATGAAGGGTAATTTCGAGACCCTTCGTGGATGGGGATAGTGTGGCATTGTTCCACATCACTATACCTCGACTTTTGGGGTTTGTAGGCGCTGGGAGTCATTCCCAACTGCTCCATGTCCTTCCTATTTTGTGTTCTAAGACTATAGTGGCTGCCATAGTGCCGTTCGTTCAAACTGATGTTGCGTCGTCATTTCTAAATGAAATCGTGCGATGTAAATTGCCTATTGTAGGCGACGTTGAGGCGCTCCACATCCCTTCTGAATCAGATCATTTAAAGCTGTGACCTGAACGATATAAAGGTTCAAAGCCAGTAAAGAAATCTGACTGTGCACACTATCTTTCGTTTTAGGCACATTTAAGCCTATTGTGACTATAACAAGTGATATTAGAGCGGAGCAGCTTCAACTATGGATGGACCTGAAGAAAGGGGTGGCAGAGGTGCTGGAGGCAATTGTGAAGCCGAAGTCTTGGCCCATCTAGGGATGAGCCTAGAGTGTTTGGCATTGACAAGTTCAACAGGGACTGCTTCGCTGGGTGGTCCTTCAAAAGGAGAACATATTTGATCACTATGACCTGCTGGAGGTGATGGAAGATACGGAGAATCGCCCCGAGAACGACCCGGAGCAAAGCCCGTGGGTGCGAAAGAGCGCCCAAGGCTACCTCCTATTTGGGCAAGCGCTGGGGAGCAGCCAAATCCATCACATCAAGCAATTACAACGTGAACCAGAGAAGGGACCAATATCATGGGCTGCTCTCAAGGGTGTACATGCTCCTGCAACAACAGCAATAGCGGTGGTGCTGGAACGGCAAATGGCGTCACAACAAATTGAAGAAGATGAACCCGTGGATGAAGGGTTGCAGAAATTATTTGACTCGCTAACGTGGCTTGTGGGAGCTGATTTAAACTATAGTGAGCGTCAGAAGAAGACCAAGTTGCTGGCCCTACTCCCCAAATCATGGTCCTCGCTCATCATCAATTTGAATCGTGATCTGCCCCGCCTTTCGTTCGAAGACGTGAAGTAGGCGATTCTTCAAGTAGACTTTTGCCGCCGTGAGATGGCGGGTCCGGATGGCGTCGGGCAGCAAACGTTGGCCGTGGATATGGCCGAAGAAGAGGCAGAGGAAAAAAAAGGAGGAAGGTTTGGTGGCAGCAAAATTAGTGGAGGCCGCGGCAATGGCGGATACGGCAACGACGACAAGAGCTACACGCGCGGTCGCGGCCGATTCGACGACGTATGTCACTTTTGCTACAAGAGCGGACACATCTGGCGCCAAAAGAAGACCAAGTTGCTGGCCCTACTTCCCAAATCATGGTCCTCGCTCATCATCAACTTGAATCGTGATCTGCCCCGCCTTTCGTTCGAAGACATGAAGTAGGCGATTCTTCAAGTAGACTTTCGCCGCCGTGAGTTGGCGGGTCCGGATGGCGTCGGGCAGCAAGCGTTGGCCGTGGATATGGCCGAAGAAGAGGCAGAGGAAAAAAAAGGAGGAAGGTTTGGTGGCAGCAAAATTAGTGGAGGCTGCGGGAATGGCGGATACAGCAACGACGACAAGAGCTACGGGCGCGGTCGCGGCCGATTCGACGGCGTATGTCAATTTTGCTACAAGAGCGGACACATGTGGCGCGATTGTTACAAGCTACCTGAAGGATGGACCTCTGCTCAAGGCCAAGAGGGTAGAGGAGCAGGAGGGAAAGGAAGAGTCCGTGGTGGTCGCGGAGGTGGTGCTTCAAATATGAAGAACGAAGACAACGAGAGCGACTTGAGTGACGATCGCTTCCCGGATTAATTCCTCGTCTTGACGCAAGCACCAGCTGCACCAGAGAAGGATAAAGGCTTTGAGGAGCCAGCAAATGTGGGAATGGTTACCCTACACTCCCTGGACAATTGGATGATTGACAGTGGCGCTACCTATAGCATGAAACCTCGTGCTGACTTGCTCACCGAACTCGAACCGTCACCGGTGAAGCATGTCACATCGGCTTTGGGGCAGTGAGCAAAGGTGAAAGGCATGGGCAAGGCCATGTTCAATGGTGCCGATGCAAATATGGTGGGCCTCAAGAACGTGCTTTGGGTGCCCAACCTTGCTGAGAACCTGATTTTTGTGCGGCGGTTGCAAAAGGCCGGCATGGATACGAGCTCGAAGGGAGCTAAGACGTAAACCGCAAGGCTTGGCGAGCGGATTCTGTGGGACCTTCATGGGGATAGGGATGTCTACAACGAGATGTGGAAGATCCCTATGGTCCCGATGATTAAAGAGAGGCAAGTGTTAGAGACTAAGGACAGAGTCTATGAAGATTAGGAGCCGAAATATCACAAAATCGTTGGTCTCAATTTCTGGACAGAATCGTCGAGTTCACAAGAAACGCCGTTGACGGAAATTGCACCGTAAGAATTGTCTCAAAATCAAGTATGTTGTAGCCCTTAAACGAGGCTATCATTCCCAATTTGAATCGTATCCAAAGATGGACTATAACTCGAGTTACAAAGTTTGGCGCACTAGGGGGTATGCTGTCATAGAAAATTAACTCAATCACAAGAGTCTCACAAGTGGTCACACAAGAATAGCAATTAACCAGGTGGGAGGGGAAGAGGAGGACGAGAAGGAAGGTCCCCAAAGAGTCCCCAACCAAGGAAACCCCATAAGCACATCAAATCCCTTCCCTATAGGAACCCCACTTTGACCTTTGTCCATTTTCCAACCTCCACAATCCACCCCACCCAAGTTGGCCACACTTGCCAACCCAATTTGGTTTCTCCCAACCACTTGGCAGCATCTACAGTGATGGGGACGAATTTCCCAACCCCCAAAAGTTTGTACTCCTTATGGAGTCAACCCCACAACTTCCCATAGTCACCACAACCAAATATAAAAAGCATACGAACTTCAAATGTTTGTAACTTTCTTGTTCGTGCTCCGATTGAAGCGATACTTGGCTCGACGGAAAGCTCTTGAGCAGAGGAGTCATTTCAGATATCTTCTCAAGAAAAATATCATTAACACACACTCAGAGAATCCAGACCACACGAATCACAAATTCTTGCACACACTCACACCACGCATGCAACGCACGAACATATGATGGGAGGCAGACAGACGTGAATGCAAATGATAGCATCACATAACAGCAAGTGGCAGCAAGCGTCAGCACCAAGGGTGAAGCGGTTGGTAGCGGCTATGGCGCGGACGATAGCGCCAAGGAGAAAGAGTCCAAGAAGAGCAATCTTGGAGGGACTAGCAAGTAGTGTGAACTTAAGGAGAGTGGTGCAAAAGCCAAAGAGCAGCACAAGGGTAAGATGAACCCCAAGGCAGCCGCGAATTAGGACTACAGCGAGAGCATGTGAGGCACAATTGTGAGTGCGGCATTTTACAAAACGACTTTGGCTATGGGGGAGTGTGATTCATAGACTTTGCACCGGTGAATGTGGCATGCGGCCCTACCCGATTTGCAGCAGCTAGTAAAGGGAGAGATGGTTGCTGGCATACGTGTTAAGGGGAGACTACCGAGATACTTGGCTGACCGACATGCATGCAAGCCAAGTTCACCCATTTCCCATTCTCTAGTTTGGAGGCAGCCGCTAAGGCACCGCTTGATTAGGTGGTGGTGGACGTGGTGGGAGCAGAGATAACTAATTCAACGGGAGCTAGAGAACGGGCTAGGCACGGGGCTTAAATGATCTCTGCGTTCGTTCCTTAGTCGTTTCCTTGTGTGCTTACTATTTGCTAGTTCACGGGAAGAACTGGTAAGAGTTTCACTAGGAGAACATGACAAAAATGATACACAATGGCAAGGCAACAATGACTACGTCGGATGCTAGCAAGCAAGCCAGTCGACTGCCAGCGCTGTATGCTCGACCGCGTTCCAGCACTACAATGTCGACCGCGCTCAGTGCAATGTCGCGGTCTGCCAACGCTGCAGGTTGACGGCGTGCCAACACTACGGTAGGTTGGCGACACGCGTTGCATCCATAAGACAGCAGGGCACCCGCTTCACAGATGCTCGGAGTTGGTTGGCGCGGTGTGCCTCGTCACTCACACAGTGCGGACGCCACGCCAACCACGGCCCACGTCCGCACCTGACCCTCCATGTCGACCTCGGGATACCATTCCCGAGGTCGGCCTCGCTAGGACCACCTGGGCGACTGTCGTGCACCTTTGCAGAACTTTGTCACCCGGGTAACTTGGTCGACCTGGAAACCACCAGTTCGGCGTTGAATTCCTTGGAGAAAGTCGACCGGAAGTTGTATGTGCTCGTCTGTAGCCCAAGTCGACGACCACCAGTCGACTTCACCATGTCGTCGACTCCCAAGCCAGCGTCACCAAGTCAACGCCTCCGAGGTCGACCTCGCCAGGTCGACCACCTAAACTCGGCGCCCTCCAAGGCGCCCCATGGCTCCCCTGTCCAAGTCGACGTCGGAGCCTCCAAAGATCAGCGTCCACCCTCGTCGACCACTGGGACTGTTCGGCCGCCGGCTCCCCATC